GGCCAAACACTAGACATTGTTAGTTTGTTCTTGCCAAAGCTTTGCTTGCATTTACACATGACTAGCTTTATGTCGTTTTGTCAAAAGTGACATGGTGCTAAAGATCGAAAACCTGATAGCAAATTTAGATTGAAAAATGAAAAATGAAACAAAAAACATTATCTATAGAGAGATATCAAATGGCTTTGGTTTGGCTTTATATTGTTGCTCTAAATATTTCAACTTACAATAATTTTAGTTCCATTTCATTTTTCGTATCCGTGCTTTCCCCTTAGTATGTTACTTATATTTTTTGTTATAAATTCTTACCTTTTATAAATAAAAACTTATTTTTCTTAATAGTATTATTTTCATTTTTCCCAAAAAAATTTTTAAATAACTTTTTCTATCAATACAAATCAGTATCAATGACTTATCAATATCTATCTGAACAGTTACTAATTAGGTAAAATTAAATCATCAAGATCAAGATTGTATGTCAATGGGATTCGGTAAATCCAAGAACAAATGAAATTACCACCTTGATTTTACCGCCACTGATGTTAAGGTAAGCTAAATTATGTCTCAACCAAAACACTTCTTTTAAACATTTAAGTAAGATCAGCTTTCAAATTACCTAACATTAGTTTCCTGTTATGAAAATTCCAAGCATGCAATAATATCAAATTTCTAAATTTCTTACAATAATGCAAAGTATACTTATAATGTAGTTCCTGAAGACACCATTATCACCTCAATAAAAACAACTAAAATTTTGGAGATTCAAACTTATCCAGCACTCTATCCCTTACATTACTTCATTTTCTTATCATACCAACAACTCAATGACATAATGAACAAGGACAAATACATGATAGGTTTAATATTTCATCCCCTTAAATTGATGCGTGAAAAAAAAATCCAACACAATTTTCTTTCTTTACAAATATGTTCCACTATTATTTTCATGATGTTATTGGAGCACTAAAATCAAAGCGTCTAATTATTAGCATTGAGGTAATCACCTTAAAACAAATAATCACCAAATGTGATGTCTACATTCAAAAGCTTAGGTAAAGTAAAAAATAAATGCAAAACATATTTATATTTTTTTTATTGAATTCTTTACCTTAACGGTCAAATTCTTCAAGTTACAATATAGGCTAAAATGGTTTCAAAGATAAAGGAAGAAAACTATTCAATAACATAGCAAATCTTATTATGATCTTTACTGGCACAACTGTCAAAAGCTATAGAAGTAACATTTTTTCCCTTCTTTCATCTAAAATGTGTTATGTATTGCATTTCATACTTTTATTTTTTATACTTAATGTGTTAACTTAATTCTTGCTTGGTCTATATGAGCTTTACCTATTATTTTGCTATGGAACTAAAATTTTTATGGACTTAAACATATTAAAATCAATATAACTAAAAATGAAATATATCATACTTATTTCTTTTATGTTTATCAATTTCTAAAGTTAAAACTCATTACTCCACATAAAACATAAATATACAATCCAACCAATGAAATTCTAGTTACTACTTGCTGAAAAGCAACTACAATAACCTATTATTTGACAAAAGTCCAAAAAAGCAACCAATGTAGAATTGCTTGGTTTTGATACTACAAAAATTCATGTGAAAAAATATAGCATATTAAATTTCTTAACTAATTTTTATTCTTTTTATTCCATTCTACATTAGGATGCAAAATGCTTTTGTAAAAAATAAATAATCAAAATAGATCCATCTTACTGGATATTAAACCATTTATTACTAACAATCACTATTTTCCACTAGCTCAAGTTCAATATGACGATAAAGGACAACATAGGACAAATGGAAATCCAAGCATTTACTAAACCAATAGAAAATTTGAATAATACAAACAATAGCAATTATAGCTGTAGTCAGACCATTAAACAATATGACTTTTTCAACATCTACGGCAAACTTATCAATCAAAAATGAATCTTGACAATTGGTCTTACAAAACACACTATTAAAACAAGAATGATTGCCTATAAAAGTGTTCGACTCTGAAGATCTAATGAAACAACAACCTAAAAGTTCAAAACAACTACTTTTCAAATTTGAAAGCTTATCGCTCACTCAACAAGAATCATCAATAGAACAAAAATCCAAGTCATGTGAAATCATTGAACAACAAAAGCAATTGTCCCCAACTTCACACCAAGTCCTCACATCATTATTAGCAAGCCAAGTTCCACACAACCTATTTCATAAAGAAACTCAAAAAAAAAAAAAAAAAACTCAAATACAAGTATTATTGTTTTAAGACAAGCATTTACTTATGACTTTTGTTATTTTTAGCTTTTTTAAAGCATTCATTTGTTCCCTTTTAGAAATATTGTTATTTGTTTAACCATTTTTTTTATGCTTGGATGAGTTTTAATCTAATATGTAGATTCCAATTCTAAAATTCATCTTTACATGTTCTTTTTCTTCATTGTTTGCTCTCATGTTTTATCATTTGCTTTCATTTCTACAAATTACCTAATTGTTTGCATCTCATTTCTATAAGGAAAAAGCAAAGATGGAAGAATGAAAACCATTTACCCCAGATTTTGTATATATTATGCAACCTTTTTTGGATGATATAGTTGCTAATCACACTAAATATATGCACCCTTGAAAATTTATAGCAAGCATATGTCTATGCAATCATCAAACACTTTTTGGCGAAGAGAAAATATCAGTTTTAATGATTTTACACATACATAACAATAATGGACAACAAACTATCTTTTGTGAATTAATTTGAAATTCCATTATTATAATGTCACAAACTATAAAACCTTTTTGTACATATGTAACAATGATGGGTATTAAACTATGCTATGTAAATTAGGCTCCATTTATTTTTTGGAAAATGTTTATATTTTTTGAAAAAGTAAAAATTTTCTATTATTGGATGAGTTAATGAAAAATAATTTCTATTGTTTGGTTATAGTTTGGAAATTTTATTTCTTTTTTCAGATAATATTAATATAACTATTGAAAAATTAAATATTATTTATTATTAAAATCATTAATATTCAAGAATAATTATATTTTATAATAATATTTAATATTAAAATATTATATTAATATAAAAATACTTAAAATAAAACTATTTATTATTTTTATATTAATATTTTAAAACATTTAAATAGTATTACTATTCTTAAATATTATTTTTACTAATATTAAAATAGTAATATTTATTATTAAAATATTTAAACTATTAAAATATTTATATTTTATATTGAAAGTATCTATTATTAAATCATAACAAAAATCTTTTTTATTTATATTTATTATTAAAATAGTAATATAAATACCATAATAAATAAAAATATAAAATTATAATATTTTAAACTAAAACATAATAAGAAATTATTAAAAATATTCATATTATGAAAAATATTATTATATTATTTAACATTAATTATTAAAATAATAAAATATTATATATTATTATTTATTATTAAAATAATAATATAATACTATTTATTATTGAAATATTAAAGTATTTATGTTTAATAATATACAAATAAAAATATTTAAAATGAAAAATAAAAAAACTTCTAATGCTAATATTTTAACTTTTTAATTAAAATTAAATAAAATATTTTTATTAATATAATAATATTTCAAGTCAAATTAAATCAAGTTTGAGTTTAAAATATTATATTCAAAGTTTTACTTGACTATAAATATAAAATATTTTAAATTAAAAATATTAAAAGACCTTTAATATTAATATATTAATTTTTAAGTAAAATTAAATAAAAATATTATTTATTAATATAATAATATTTTGGATAAGGTCAAATTAAGTTTGAGCTTAAAAAATCATATACAATATTTGACATGAGTAAAATTATACTCAAACACATTAATAAGTAATTTTACTCACAGATAACTCTTTTTTGAAAATTGTTTTTCCATTTTAAAAATGGTAAAATAATTTTCTAAAAAAATAATCTTATTTTTTGTAGACTAATAAATCATTTTTCGTTGACCAATTAAGTTTCTACTAAATAAATATCTAAAAATATAAAAATTATTTTCTACAAAACAAATGAACATTTTATTTTGGAATTCCATTACTATAATGCCACAAACTATCATAATTTTTTATACACTACATTGTTTACTCTCATGCCTTGTCTTTGTATTCACATAACAGACATTACATTTTTAATATAAAACATTACAAACAATGATAGTTGCTTTCAAGCAATAACCTTACCATGACACGTTGGAATATCTCTAGTTAAAATTAAAATCAAGTTTAGTTCAAAAAATCATTGAGTCAAGTCAAATTTAATTGACTATAGTGAAATTATTTATTTAGGATCACATGTCATCATTTGCAGCACACCTCTAATTTATTTTTTTTTTATTCAGGAATAGAAATGATAATTGGTTAGGCCATGACAGGTTAGGATTATGTTCTCATTATTTTCAAGTTAATGAAATTTTGGGTTTTTTTTTTTTTTTTGGATCATTTCTGAATTTAAGGTACAATTTATTTCATATTAAAATAATTAAATTTTATAATCAAATCATTTAATTTTAGATTCATTTCATATTTATCCTTCAAATCTTCATATTCAAATTATTTTAAATTTAATATAATTTAAGTTCGAATTGAATGTATTTAAATTATTAATTTTTTGGGATAAAGTACAAATTTATTATTATACATACGATGGTTCAAATTTATCATCAATTTTTTCAATTGATACAATTTTACCACCGTACTTTTAATTTTGGAACAAATTTCCTACCATATTTTAAATTTTAGAATAATTAAAAAACATTTAGTAGAACTTTCTATTAGTAATGGTTTCTAATAGAATTTTTTATTGAATATCTTTAATTGCTCTAAACTTCAAAATATGATGATAAATTTATTACAAAATTTTAAAAAAATAGTGATGAAATTATATAGTGATAAATTTGAATCACTGTAGTCGTAAATTTGTACTTTATTATTATTATTTTATCAAATTGGGTGGAATTGAATTCAGATTCGGGGAAGTTTGGACAGGTTGGCCCAACATCAACTTTACCGGCTCTAATTGTGGACTTTAGTGGATTAATTTATGATGTTCCTACGTAAAAAATAGAAAAAGAAATGCCCTAAAAGGCTGAAATGCTGTAGCGTGGCTCAACATAGAGCTGAAGCAGCTCACGCCGTCGAAGCTGCTGCTCCTCACATGGCCTCCAGGTAGCATTTTTTTTTTCTTAAAACAAAATGCTAACGGTAACAAACGAACAAATTCAACTCAAAATGCAAAAAAGAAATTTTCATCGGTTGCTATTATCTCTTTGTACAAGCAGACGATTGAGGGCTTTCAAGAGGTGGATGAAGTCCGAAGGAATCGAATGCAGCGATACGCTTGAGTTCACAGACTGCCCAGAACAAGAGATTTCAGTGAGAGCCTTGTGTGATTTAAAGGAAGGTGATGTGGTCGCCAAAATACCAAAGGCTGCTTGCCTCACTATCAAGACCAGTGGGGCTCGGGAAATGATTGAATCCGCTGGTTTGGATGGTCCTTTAGGTCTATCGGTGGCTTTGATGTACGAAAAGAGCTTGGGTCAGGACTCTCCTTGGGCTGGTTACCTTCAGCTTTTGCGACGTCAAGAGTGCTTGCCTTTGGTTTGGACTCTGCGGGAGCTGGATTCTTTACTCTGTGGGACTGAACTACATAAGGTATGATGTATCTGCTAACTGATTCTGTTTTGGTTTTTGGGGTTGGGATCTTGCCCTTCTTGTTGGTTGATGATTTATAAAGCATCCCATTGATGTAACGAATAACAATTAGAGACGCTGGAATATTTCTAAGAATTGCATGTTGAAAGCCTGAAATCATTGTTAGGGAAAGTTGTGAAAATCTTTAAATAAAAATACCTGGAATCTTGGTGGAACATATGAATTGCTAACTAAAATTGTGGTGAAATGTGTCTTCTTGATTTAATCAACCTAGACCTTTTTAGCCTAATGGTTTTTATATAGAGATTAGAGTGTTTCAAGTGAATCTTGAAGTATCCTTGATAATTTATTCTATACCTCTAGGCAGACAGTTAAGGAAGACAAAGCTCTTATTTACGAGGATTGGAAAGAAAGTATTCTGCCTCTCGTATATTTGGCACCTCAAACCTTTAGTCCATGTGCTTTTAGTGTTGAAGAATACTTTGCTGCGAGAAGTCTTATTGCCTCTCGGTCTTTTCAGATAGATGAATACCATGGATTTGGGATGGTTCCTTTGGCAGATCTGTAAGTATACCCTCTCAATTTTGAAGATATCTTCATTATTATTTAAGGTCATTGTGGAATACATATTTACAAATGTTATGGATGATCTACCATTAAGTGGTCTGTGAATTTACTAAAGTGCATGCCATCCTAATTAAGGGAGTAGCATCAAGTCATTGCTTAGATTCATAGCTGTCATAAGTATATTATGGAGTATCGATTCCTATCTTTGATCTTTGCAACCATGGTATGTAGGCAAAATGCCAAAGCATTGTCTAAGTTTGTGATTAGGATTTTTACATTCTTTTACTCTTTCCAGGAATGTACTATATAACACAACATGATATGCCTATGGTAATTGTTCTTAGCCTCAGTTTTTCCTTTCTTTCATTTTTTTTTTCTATGAAATCCAGCTTTAATCACAAGACAGGAGCAGAGGATGTACACTTCACCTCTGTATGCTCTAATCAAGAATATGACAATGATGCTGACAGTGACAACAGTGATAACAACAAATTAAGTAAAATTTCTGTCCAGGATAAGAAGGCGTTAGGTGCAGCTTCCAATGGTGAGAATTCGTACATTCACAGTGATTCAGAGTACTCTTCATCTTTTGGAGATGATCCTATGATGCTGCAAATGATTATGGTGAGAGAAGTCAAATCAGGTGTAGAGGTTAGCATCTACTCATGCCTTTTTTTTTTTTTTTCACTAAAATTCTACTGATATTATATGGTTATTATCTTCCCAATTCTACAATTAATGGCTCGAGTAACATGAGGGGTTTGTTAATAGACTCTGGATCTAGGTGCACTAGGTTGACTTTTGAGGAAAACCGGTCTCTTCTTGAGTTAGGCTTTTATTCAACCGCATGGCTTATCTTTTCTTTTACACAACCCAAGTTTGAAGATATTTTGAACTTGCAGCTAAAGTGAGAGTTAACCCAAAATTTTCTATTCTCTTAAATTTTATTAGGCTCATATTTGATTGGTGCTTTTGCTATTTGCTTTTTTACTATTTGAAAAATTGCTGTAAAACAAAGCAAAAGGTAAAAAAGCAATGTTATAATTAATTAGAAATGGGAAAAAATTAAAACTTAACGCCAATTATAACAAATTTTCTATATGGTAGAATTATCCATTTTATCACCTAAACAGAATTACATATTTGTGTATAATCCTTCAAAAAACAAAATTTAATTTCATATTCAAATGCCCTTTTTGCCTTTCTGCTTCCAAAAGCAAAAAAGAAATAGGAAAAATGCCAACCAAACTCATCAATAAAGCTTCTGTAATAGCTTTGAGAGAAAGCACATTTACAATTTTTGCTACTGATCTGCTTCATGGCTGCTAATATTTGCATTCCCAAGTGACCAATGAGAATTTTATCACCAAGCCAACAGCAGTAGCCTTCCTTCCCAGACTGTCTGACCTTCAAATTGAGGCCACCAGGAGGAGCAGGTGTGATAGGAGAGTTGGTGGGAGAAGGTGAGGGTAAAATGATCAATAGGGAGAGATTTGACATACAGAGATGTAAGACTTGGCTTGATGCTTGTGTGCATTTTGACCTTCAGACTGGCAACCATGTGTGACAAACAGAGAAGGTTGGTCTTGGGCTTGGATAGGCTCTTTGCATCTTGAGAGTTGGTGGGAATTATGAGAAGAAGTTGGACAGAAAAATTATTGGTGGATAGTAGATTTTGACTGGAGAGGGAATGAAAAATTCAGTGTTGGGACAAGGGATTACATTTTATGAGATTACCTCAAAATATAGTTTTATTATGCCAAACTTTCATTTTTTTCTATTGTTCATAGGTAGAAGTTGATAAATATGCTATTTAACATTTTTGTCATTAGCACAATCAAGAAAAAAGAATATATTGTGCTTTCTTTCTTTTCTATTTTATATTTAAATCTAAATGTGTGATATTATTACAAATAAAAGATGAAGACAACCAATTACTTTTAAATATTACATGGGAAGAATTATTAAGGTTGTAATTTTTATCTACCTCATTCTGTATTCACTTGTACTGAGTTAAAAAAGCTCATGACTGTGATATCTGTAATGCATGATGTAGTGTCCACTATGTCTACAATTGTGATAAACACTACATAGCCACAATAGCAATTTAAAACTTTGATATTCATCATTTAGGCTTTACTTGGTAGAGAGGATGGAAAGTGGTAAAGATGAAAAACTTGTTTATCTAATGGTTATGTTACAAAATAGGAAAGTATTTATTAATTTTAACTATTACATTAACAAATTTTTCATCCTTACTACTTTCCACTCTTTTTACCAAGCAAAGCCTAAAGCTGGCTATTTGGATAATGCATGTGAAAACAAAACCTTGGTCTTTATTTTTTTAAGTAGGTTTTGGGAATAATACTTCTCATGAAAAACAAAACTGAAAGTTGTGGTACCTGTACAGAGCTAGAGTCATTAGTAGTGATTAATAGAGATTAAAACACAGGAATGGACTCATATCGGTGATGCCTCTTTCTTGTTTATTATTGAAGTGAAAGCTGAACCTCAATTATCTCAACATTGGTTCTTTTATATGCTGTCAAAGTCCTAGAAACAATTAAGCGTTGTCCTTCAAGTAAGTTTAAGAATGACGCCCCCCCTCTCCCCCCCCCCCCCCCCCCCTCCCTCCTCCCAAAAAAAAAAGTAATGAGTTCTCTCTCTTGGAATAATATTTTCCCTTTTCTTTTACCTTTCTTCTCTGTTGTGCTGTTTTGGCTTTTTTTCCCACTTGTGTGGGGTGTGGGGCCAGTTAGTTGACACATTGTTTTTTACATGCGCTTTTATTGCTTTTTCATCCTCTCTTGAATTGATCTTGTATATTCCATTTTTTCTGATTTGGGTATATGATTCTTATTTTGCCATGTCATTACTGCTTGTTTGGAACTTGTCCTTTGCTTTAACATTTTGTGCACTGGTTTGATAGATTTACCTTCTGAACATTCATTTCCTGTTTTATTTCTATTCACATCCAGCTTTTGTTTTGCTAGCTCCCTTTTCTTAAGTGATTCTAAATTTTTCTTATCGCAGGTTTTTAACACATATGGATCACTTGGCAATGCTGCTTTGCTTCACAGATATGGATTTACAGAGCCCAATAATCCTTTTGATATAGTGAACATTGATCTGGAATTGGTCCTGAAATGGGGTTTTTCTCTGTTTTCTAATCGGTACTGCAGAGCAAAGTTGTCCCTTTGGAGAAGATTAGATTTTTCTGGATGTGTAAGTGAGAACTCCGAATATTTTGAGATCTCATCCGATGGGGAACCCCAAAGGGAGCTATTGACGTTATTATACATAATGTTATTGCCAGAGGATGCATGTCATAAGTTGGATATTAACATTTGCACTGCTGATAAGGTTGGTGAATGCATTGGCATGATGTTATCAGAAAAGCATAACATTAAATGGGACGGAAGCTCAGAAATAAGCAAGGAATTGTTGCTGACAGAAAAGGTTTGCAATGCCCTCTTGGCACTTGCTGATATTCGTGAGAGTTGTTACGGTTCAAAGACAATAGATGAGGATATGGAAGCTCTAAAGAGATGTTGCATGAAGGAAAGAAAATTATATCATTCTTTGGTGCTGAGAATAAGTGAGAGGAAGATCCTTGAGAAGCTTAGGACTTTTGCTACTATAGGAGCTCAAACATTTCAAACTGCAAAGAAAACCTTTACAAGGAAGATATTTAAGAGACGTAAGGTGACATAATTCATCCACGTTGCTTTGTTTTCCCGTACCAAACGGAAGGACTTTGCCTGGGCCATCATGCTTAGATGAAACTGATCGTGGAACACGTGACCGTTTTTTTTTTTTATTCTTGCATTTGACTAGTCAACAATGCCTTAATCAATATTACAATTGAATGTCATCTGTTGATCATTATTCGAAATTAACTAAAAAAAAAACTCAAAGCAAAAATATATATAATTTTATTTTTTAAAATTGCAATATTATATATAATTTTTTAAAAGAAAAAAAAATTGCAATATTATATATTTAAAAAATTTTTTAAAAAATTAAAATATTTAAAAGAGTAAAAAATATATATAATAAACCAAACTTGAAAATAATAAAATTAATTTAATAATATTATATATTCAAAAATAAATAATATATCAAATATAAAAAAAAAAGAAAAGTAGGTTGCAAAAAAAAGTGAAGAAAACCTGCTTGAAAAGAAATTGATTAATTTAATAATTTAAAAAACAAAAAAAGGGAAAATGGAGAGAGAGCGAGAGAGAGAGAGAAGAGGAAATGGGTCCCATACAAAAGGTGATGGCTCGACTTGAAAAAATAATTTAATAATTAAAATAGAAAAATAAAAAAAGAGAGTAACACGTGACAACATCTATAAAATTTATATTGAAGAGGCAAATTTTGTATTATGTTAAATTTCTGGGTGAAACTTACCCATGAGGATAATTATAGAACTTGAATTTCAAACCATTCTTAGGGTTATTTTATATTTGAAACACTAATTAATTTTGTTTTTAGACATTTTATTTAGGATTATAGTGCTAATGAGTTTAAATATTAATTTTTTTTACTTTCCTTATTTTAATATATTTTAAAAAATATATATTTTGACATCCTTAATAAAAAAAATCCATATAACAACCATTCAAAATGCAAAACAAAAACAAATAATAATAATAATAGTAATAATAATAAATTGGATGAAATATTCATGTTTGTAGGATATTATAAATAAAATTTATGTAGCTAATTTTTGAGAAATAAGGTCAAGAATGTTGATATATTATATTACTTTTTTTTTTTTTAAGTTTGATTTGATTCAAGTAAATTAATTTGGTAATTTTAACAATATTGGTAAGGAAGATTAGAAAAATTAATTCTTTTAATATTTTTAAACAAAATTAAAGGAGTTAATAAAATGAATTTTTAAATTAATTCTTCTAATATACCTATGATATTCTTAAAAACATGGATTACATGAATTAATCAGGTAGATATCATAAATTACTCTATTAAAAAAATAAAATATATAATAATTAGCAATATAATAGAAAAATATATGTATATAACATATTTATTAAAATATAAAATAATTACATGCCAATAATCTATTAGATCATTTGTATTCATTTAAAAAAATAATTTGTATTATGGTAAACTTGATTCGATGGATCTCATCCTCTTTTAAATCTTTATGATATCTTTGCTCTTAACTTGCGTTGAATTCTTAACAAATTAAAGTAGTATTTGGTTTATAAAAACAAGGTTGTTTTCTATTTTCATTTTCACAAAAACTAGAAAATGGATTAAAAATCTTGTTTTATTGAAAAATAAAAAATGTTTTTCTAGAAAATGACAATGAAAACAGACTGAAATTTGAGAAAAAAAAAAAAAAAGATGTTTTCATTGTTTTCAATGAAAACTCTTTTCTTCTCCTATTTCTTCTTCTCTTTTCTCTCTTCTGCAACTGCTTCCTCAAACCCCACACTCTTTCTTTCTCTTATTTCTTCCTTTTGAGTTGTTTTACTTTTCTTTTCCGATCATTCTGGTATGGCGTAGTTAGATGTAGAAAATGTAGGTTATAGAAGATCCTGTGGTTAACATTTCCATGTTTTTTAATCTGTAGCATCATTTGTAGATCTTTTTTCGTTAATTTAAAAAATGGATTCCTATTAAAAAGGGGCTCATCGAAGAATCTGTATCCGGTTCATTCTAGCAATTCGCCTACATTTCAAACAAAGCAGCCTTGCAGAACTGCAAGAAAAGCAATCTTTTCTCAGTCTTTCTTGAGCCCATTCGATGGCTACAAATCCTATATTTCCATCTCAATCCAACTTTCATCTTTGGCATAGTTCTTGTATGTGGCCTTAACCTCGGCTTCTTTGGCTCTTCTTTAAAGGAGTCTCAGACTACCATTCGAAAGATGCTTAGAAAGTTCAGCCCTTGGTCAATTATACATAAGCCATTTATAAATTACGTGCTTACAATTTTAATATGCATTTTGCTTTAATTATTTAATTATTATTTTTTGTTTTTTGTTTATAAAATGCATATATCAAACATATTTTTATAATTTCATTTTTCAAAACAAATTTTCATTTTTGTGAACTAAAAATGTTTTTTAAAATTCAAAAAAAAAATTTATTTTCAAAAAATAAAAAGTAAAAAATATTCTTTTGCATTTCTTGGAGCAAAATTTTAGGAGCATTTTTTTTTCAAAAAATTGGAAATTCTCTAATACCATTATATTTTCTCTTTCAAAATATTGATTTATTTTCAATTTTTTTTGGAAATATTGGATATGGTATTGTTAGAAATATTTTGATCATTTTTTTAACTTTCTTCACTTGTACTGTTGTAGTCAATATCATTCATTTTAATTGACAAAACTTATGATAAGAAAAAAATTAAAAAATATAAAAGAAATGAAAATCTAAAAAAATTAAAAATGTAAAAAATATATGCATATATAAAAAGGCAATATGTATTATAGTATGCATGTGATTGCATGTATCTGTGTGTATATATATATATATATATATATTAGAAATATACAGAATCTACTACTATTTCAATTGATAAATATGAAAACAAATATATATGTATAGTATGCATGTATATTCAGTTGATAAAAATATGTAACCTACTATTGTTTCAATTAACAAATATGAGACAAAAGGAATTGTATTAGGTTGTAAAAAATGAAAAAAAAAAAAAAAAGATAAGATAGGATCTTACACATACATACCCTATCTATACACGTAAAAAATATTTGATGGGACAAAAACATTGTGCAAAATGTAGTGGATAGATGGATGATAATAAATAAATAAATATATATATTATAGTAAAATATAGAGTTTGAAAACAAAAATACACTACAGGAAAATGACGTATTAGCGACAGTTTTGTAGCGGTCTTTCATTTACAAACGTCACTAACTTCAGTGTTTTTATAAAACTTCAAGCATTTATTATCAAAATGTCACTAAATTTTTAAATAGCAGTGTTGGTACTTATAAACACCACCCAAGACTCGATATTAGCAACGTTTCTGGATAAAAATGCCTTGAATAATTTTTATTAAAAATTTTAGTGAATAGTAAAGACATATTTTTGGCAGACAACGCCTTCAATAATCACATCATAAAAAATTGTATAAGATTATTGAAGGTATTTTTCACAAGAAACGCCTTTAATAATTTGACCAAAAAATTTCACAGGCTTATAAAAATATTTGGATCGTACGGATGTTTACCATAAGGTTGTAGGTCCGATTCCTCTATTTAGCCTTTTTTTGGTTTTTTGCACAGATTATTTGTAATTGATTATTCTAGGTATTTTTTTGACAAAAATGCCTTCATCGATTGCTTTAAAAAAATTTTCAAAGAATATTGAAGGCATTTTTCGCAAAGAGATGCCTTTAATAATTCATAAGTATTTTTAGCCTATGGATTCTTGAAAGCGTTTTTGGTTGAACTCGCATTCTATAATCTAATAAGTAAGTTGTTGTTGTGATTATTAAATGTGATTTTTGTCAAAAACGCCTTCAATAAATCAGAGATAAAAGTTGGAAGGGATGCTTGAAGGTATTTTTTGCTCAAAACACCTTTAATATTCCCAACGATAAATTTTAATGGACGGATTATTGAAGGTAGTTATATCCAGAAAACGCCTTCAAAAATATTTTAGTTGGTATTATTGAAGGCGATTTTGGTAAAAAAACACCTTCAATATTTTTTGTTATAGATTATTGAAGGCATTTTCTTCCTAAAATCGTCTTCATTAATCCCATCAAAATAACGTATTTGATATTAATATTTCCATATTAATATTTTTTTTGAAATAATCGTACTCAGTAATTTATTAAGTACACATAATGTATTTATATTAAGTAAAACAATAATATTAAACCAATATCCCAATGTACAAACTTAAAGTTTCCATTCAACATGGCATGTTAAAAACATTATAACAATTTGTTCCATATATATTTTACATTCAACCAACAATGTCTAACCTGAAGGTTTATCAACATTGATAAATGATAATACATAATCACACAATTCTTTACAAACTTCATCCAGTTCTTCTTTCATGAAGCTTTTTTTACCCTCCCACTAAAAAAAATATTAGAAGTAAATATTAAGAAATGAGAACATAATGTACCTTTTTATTTTTTTCAAGATACAAGGAGTTTATGAAATTTATTCTAACCTTGAATGGTATGATCATAAAATCATGAAACACTATCTCCAGCATAAAACGAAAGACATAATATTCACATTCAGTATTACTGGGTTGACAAGGTACCTGAAAATTAAATTAAGTGGGTTTAAAAAATATTTATTTACACAAACTCAGCATAAAAATAATATATTTCACGTTTATCGATAATGACACCCATTTTGGTTTTTTTATCTTCTTATTGAATGCAGATATTACCCTAAATTGAAAAAAAAATTACTTAATACATAAATAAAATTACTTATGAAGAAATAGAAGATATATAATATAATAAAATGTAATATCTCTTTTATACAAATTTGAATATCAAGGTTAGGCATCACCGTTGGATTAACTGAATTAAGTAAGTATGACGTTAAGGATTTTGTGTCAATCACAATCAACACCCAATGACGACTGTAAAATAATAACAATGATATACTCGAATTACGTATCTGATCAGATTTAGGTAAGGTTAGAGGAATTAAAGTTGGAATATAGCTTATTGCGCATTATACGGGAGCAAATAATAATTTTTCGATCTTTTCATGCATAGGATCACATGATTAGCATGATAAGCGACTGTGTCATCTACTCATTGATGAAGTTGGGGTCAATAAATCTAAATCTGTTAGTCAACTGTCTCCCCTTGAGC